CAGAAACTATCATAAATAGACCATTTGATCTTTACAGACTTGGGGATTTGTTCTAGAAGTTCTATTGGTAGATTCGCTATGGAGCCCTCCAGCAGTTACAGAACTCTGGTTGCTGCTCAAACAGTCCAATGAGGTGGTTTATGCACATATGATGCATGATGGGCGCTCATGGCTGGGTTAATGGAGCTACAACGACCATGATGAGCGACCAAGATGGGGTACAGAACATTATCCGAAACCTGTGAATTCATCTTGTTGACACAGCGTATCCGACGGCCTTTCGATGCTGGTCATCAATGAATGTTGAACATTGCTGCAGCTGCTGGATATATATGCCTTTGCACATTCGGCCTCATCGACATCTGTTGCCATTTGCGACAGTTTTGTTTTGTTCACTGATCTCTCAATGTTACAATAAATAGTAATACTTTTCCCACCAAGAGAAGAACTCGGCAAAAGACCAGCTACAGCTCCGGAGCCCCGGTGTATCCACCAGCCCCCACAGGTCCAGGTCCGCGCTGAGACATTTTATGGGATAAAATGCCCTGGCTATCAACATGCCCGTCTGATGCAGAGCCATCCGGATAAGTACGAGGGTCGTTAGGGTCCTGTGTGGGTTTATGTTATAGAATTAAGGGAGATAAATAAATAGCACGCACATAGCGAACGTTCGAGGTAATACTGGGAGGCTGCGGAGCAGCATGCTCAACCGCAGCGGAGTGACTGGCATTCTTGTTTTTGAGAGCCATCTTCTTGCGTCGGAGTAACAAAGCACCGAAGCCCAACAATAGAGCAACAGCAGCGATTCCACCCACGACACCGCCTGCAATTGCGCCAGTGTTTGATTTCAAGGAAGACGATGATGTAGATGAGGATGTTGACGTAGAGCTAGCCTGGAGCGCGTCGAGCGACGACAATCGGGCAGCATACGAGGTAGACGCCGCTATTAATGATGACAAAGTCATCACGGACGCCGTCGACGCCGACGCTTTACTGGCGACGTAGCCTGTTCCCAAACAGACGTATGGTGAGCCAGGTGTTTGTCGACCGCTGATACTGGCAGAAGGTAACTCACTCGCGTTTTGTATCGCGTTTTCGCTGTTCCACATGTTGTTCTTTTTGAAGTAGGTTCTCGGTTAATGTCACAATTACGGGAGCGAGCGTATCTCCACGTACTGGAACTGGAAGATAGGACCACGGAGGAAACGTCGTTCCCTCGGGAGTAAGTTCTGGGTACCTAGGAAAAAGATAGAAGGCATGTATAAAAGGGGAGTTTCTGAGGACATACGACTCATAGTAGGGCCCATTAGTCCCGTTGCACCATTGCATCCAGTCGTTATAGCTTCAATTGGTACGGTAGCGTCAATGCGTATCCACATTCGAGGGATTATATGTGAGGCTGAAGGACAGTGCACTCACCTCTGCGCATTGTGGGTCTGACACATGCCACATGCAGCCATCAACGAGTATGTGACGGAGTTGCAGACGCACGGAGACGCAGTCTCCGTGGTCGGCCCCGGTCCTGCGTATACGGTCCCGGGTCCCAAAGGGGTGATTACGAGGCTGTCTGCGCTTTTCGAGTCAACTGATTGTTATGCAACACAAAAAAAGGCGAGTATGCTCACTGCCGCAATCAAAGGCAAAAGCGCCAACAGTACAGGGGTCCTGCCCCATCGCGTTCTTTGCCTGTAAGCGGGCGGCGAGTCAGCCCTGACGTAGTACTACAATGTTGGGAACCAGGATATAGGGCATACCCAATCCATCGAGGATCCACATGTTACGTTGGAGCTTTGACCACATGCCAGAGGAAATAGGCAGGCGAAAATCCAAGTCCCTCCGACATGCCGGGAGGGTAACAGCCGAACTCTCATGAGGGGCAAGGTTCTGGTGATATGGAGGAGTGAGCTGCAACGATGACTGGTATACGAGGTGGGGTGCTATCTCAAGATTCTCCTCACCCTGAAGACCATCTTTTGTACTCGCTCGAACTAGCTGTAACACATGGTTTACTGAACGGGGTGTGATGAACTTTGGACGATGCGGAGCTACTGTAAGCAATGATGAGAGCTGTTAGACAGGATGTTTGTGCTTATCGAGACCAAGAAAAAGCACACTTACTCCGACTATTAATAACCGAAACTGATCATCGTAAAACCACACCCCATGGCGATGAACATGAAAGGGAAAAGATGCGAATATGTTGAAGCCAAGTGTGGTCTTGGCAAATATCAATCAGCTAAATATAAAGTCGCAGTTCCTGGGAGGATGCTTCAAACGAAATGAACACTTGCCTGGCATATATGCAAGATAAGCGAATTCACAGCTACATGGGATGTGGGCCACGGGTTATATCCACCAGGACCAACACGAAGATTGGGGACAAGCTGAGAGCGGCTGTTGATGGCTTTGAGGACGAACATAACGCGGTGCATCACATAGACCCGTCGCCACATAGACGCCGAAACGTTCTGGTCATCACCGCCTGAGCAGTGTACGATCCATAGGCCGGGCACATCCGTCCCCGTGATAGTGATCGGCGGAGCGCTCGCCTTAGAGACCCTCGTGGGGATTGCCTGGAGCTTCCGAGGTGAAACTAAGGTAGGGGCCAGCGCGTCCCGGTTCTTTCTTTCTTTCTGCGTTGGATGCGCACGATAACTCCAAGTCGCTCGACAGGTCAACGCATGGTTCACAAGAGAGTGGTGGGCCAAGATAGATATACCTGCTTGAATCATCACATCGATGGCCTGCTGAGGTAGTAGCAAAGGCGTTGTGACGCACTATGGTGAGCGTTGAAGCGAAGAGGGAACGTAAAGATGTTGGGAAAGCGAGGAGTGGCACGTGGGGATGATTGTGGCTGTGAGAAATCTTGCCGGATAACCTCTCGTCCGCTGCGGACACCAGAACACACACGACCACTCTCTCCTCGCTGCTGGACACAATGTCCGTCCAGCTTGCGGACGACCACCCGCTCGCGCTAGAGCTCACAAGCCTTCGTCAAACGGCGGCGCGCTTCGAGGTACTCTCTTATTACTCTGGCGCTTCTAACTATATGCTCACCCCGCGGACCGTGTAACTCTCCTATAGCATGAAGCGCACACCGCCGCCGTGCGTCTCCAGCGACACTCCCTCGAAACGTCGTACTCTACAGACCGCGTACACATTCTCGAGCGCGAGAATGCCCGCCTCACCGAGGAGCTCGCGCTTATGCGCGCTCACCCAGACACAACACCGCACCCGGCCACGATCCAGGTACAGGAGCTCACGCTCGCGCTCCGACGCGCATCGGAGAAACTCGATGCAATAGAACATACTCTATCAGAGCGCACTGCGCAGTTCACAGCCGCGCGGAATGATCTGGCCAAAGCGAAGCACGAGACGGAGGGCGCACATGAGCTGGCCGCGCAGGCGCAGGCAAGGGAGGAGGAGAGCAGGGCGCGCGAACGCGCTATGGAGGGCCGCATACGCGCGGCGCAGAAGGAGCGCGACATGTCGGATCTCGTTGTGCAGGAGTACGCGGATCTGGTGCGTTCCCTCGAAGGCAGGCCTCACGCGCACGTGCATGGGAACGGACACGCGAAGGTGCCGTCGGCGGGCTCGGGCACCGAGTCTGCGAGCGGGTCGACGTCTACGGTCACGCTTGTCGATGGACTGCAGGAGGGCAAGCATGGACTGCATAAGCTCCTTGGCGAGTTTGGCGGCGAAACGGAGAGGCTGGAGGGCGTTATTGCCGGTTTGTCGCGAGACATCGCGAATCTCCAGGTTGAGCTTCAGGCGGAACGCAAGGCGGGCGCATATACCCAATCGCAGCTCTCTGAAGCCAGAGTCGAACTCGATAAACTACGAGCAGACGACAATACCGCTGCAAAGATGGTCTCGCGCTACATGTCCGTCCGGTTTCTCTCCTTCCATATCTGCCTCTCGTTCTCCTATTCGCGCTCTGACCTTGCCCTGCTCTCACCACCTTACACAGGAAGTTCTCACAGTCTACCACGAACTCGCTGCAAACCGCCATGGCCACGCAACGCACACGGTACACCGCGACGGCCGATACGCTCACGCTCAAGCTATCCGAGACGGAGCAGACACTCGAGCACGAGCGCAGGCAGGCATCGCGCCTGCGCGACGTGATGGACGAGCTGTGCTACGACGTCGCGCGCGAGACGTTCGGCCGGCGGCGCGAGGTTGCGCTGCGCCTTGCTTTGCTCGCGAGGGAGGAGGGGTTGGCGGAGGGGACGAGGAGGTGGGTGCGGAGGGCGAGGGAGGTGCTGGAGAGAGCTAGGCCGGGCGGGGGTGATGGAGCCGAAGGCGACGAGGAGAAGGTACACGATGGCGATGAAGATGCGAGTAGGGTGTTTGACGCGTTCATGGGCGTTATTCTCGAGGCTGAGGAGTTCGTCTTCCGGCTGGACGGCGATCTTGGTAGGGAAGGCGGCTCCATTGCTGATACAGCTGAGGACGAAGACGATCAGCCGATTGGTGTCCAGGCGCGCATGATTTCCGCTAAAGACGCTGTCGCGGAGCTCTCGGAGGAGCTCTATGTGGAGACGCAGAAGCGGCTTGAGCTCACGCAGGAGGTCGCGGAGCTGCTGACTGTCCTGCCGGATCGGGTGCCCAACTTGAAGGCTGCGAAGCGGATGGTCGATAAGTCGACGAATGTGGTTTCTGTGGTTCGTGTTGCGAAAATGGCAAACCCTCCTTCGCTCGGTGGAGAAGAGCCTGTTGTCATACCCAAGGAGTCTGCACCCAGTATGCCTACGGATGATGCCAAAGACCATGCGTTGTCGTCTGTTTCCGCCGATATCCCCAATCAACAATCTGCAGGAGACCCACACACGATACCACTAGTCACTGAACTCGTTGGCTCCAGCGGGCCTACTACGCCTGGTCTTCTCTCGCGTGACGCGTCCGAGAACACTCTTTCAACGTTGCTATCTGCAGATGATTTCCCATACAAGGACGACACCCTCATTTCAGTCGTAGCCGAAGATGTGACCCTCCAGCCAGAAGTCATCGATCTCACCTCCCGCCCACCGTCGCCTTCATCTTCGCCGCTACCGGATAACATTGTTACCAGTGGGACACCCGCCCCAGTAGTGGGCACGTCCCAAACCAGCCCGCTAGGATCCCTAGCCGAGCTCAAGTCCGAGCCGGAGCCCTTACAACCCTCCACACAAACAACGAACCCCCTCCTTGCATCCCTCGCGCAGACCAAGACGCGGTACGACGCGCTCCAGCGCGCCTTCAGGGACTGCCACCTCGCATTACAAGATCTTAAAGCCACCCTCGCCTCTAACTCTTCTCCATCCCTCTCTCCCTCTCACTCGCCCTCATCCTCCCCGCCCTCATTTATCTCCACAGCCCTCGAGCGCCTCGATGACTTCAGCGAAGACGCGCGCGTCGAGCTCGAGATCCGCATCTCAGACGAGTTGCTCGTCGCGCGGGGCCTCGAAACTCTCCTCTCCGTCCCCGGCGCTCTTCCAACACACCAGGAGCGGGAAGAAACCGAGACGAAGGCGCACGCGTTCGTGGACGGGAGCGACGAGAGCGTGAGAGGGGCGATGAGGAAGTTCGCTGGGAAGCTGGAGGATCTGCAACACGACATCGCGTGTCTAAAGCGCGCGGTGCACGAGCTTCCGCCGCCGCCCTCGCCTTCTACCGCGGAGAAGCAGGGAGGCGGGTGGGCGACGTGGACGGCGGGATTGCTGGGTGCGGCGGCACATGCGACACCGCCAAGGCCGCATAGTCCGACGTTTGGGAGCGTGATGACGAGCCCGAGGCTGAGACATGTGTCGAGCGTTGGGCAGCTGCATAGTTCGTCGGCCGCTTCGCATGGCGCGTCGCCGGCGCCTGGAGGCGCCAGCGCTGATCCGTTTGCCGCGCTCGGGCTTCGTATTCCTATGCCCGTAAGGGCCGCGCCACCATCTTCATCGAGCTCGCATATGCACGGACCGGGTGGATTTGGACTGGGTCTGAATCTCGGTGCGGGGTCGCCTGGACAAAGGCAGCGCACGACGTCGACGATCTACGGGCTTGGTCTTGGCGCGCGCAGTTCGCCGTTTGTCCTTGGGCACAGTTCGAGTCCTGCGCGGGGGTCGCCGAAGAGCGTGCCTAGTCCTGGGGCTGGTACGGGGCTGGGGCAGCGGGCGGTGGGTGGTGGGCCGCTGGGTGGTGGGACGATGGCGAGGCGGGTGAGCTCGGCGAGTGTGCTTCCGACTGTGCGGTCTGCGAATGTGGGGCGGAAGGGTGGTGGGGTGGAAGAAACGAGTGATGTTGAGTAGGGAGAGGGGCGGGAGGCACGAGTGGTGTTAGATAATGGGATGAGAGAAGTGAGAAGTTGAATTTGGACATACCCTGTAGGTTCGCTCGAGGACGAAAGGACGGAAAGGAGTGGAGGGCTGGATATTAATGCACATGGACTCTGGACATACCGTATGTTTATACTTTTTGTTTTGTTTAGCCTCCTGGTCTGTGAATACGGGACAGTAATACTTAGTGGTTGTATACCTTCAGTTACCTCGAAGCATTTGTTTGTCGGGAATATTGTCCTCGTCAAGCTGTGAGCGCTTATTACTAATGTCGAGAGCGTAATAAGCGCTCAATGAGTGTGCCTACCCGATCAAACCGGTGTCGGCGTTTTCCGATTGGTGCGTCATCCGGTCGGCAGGTACACTGATTGCTGCCGAACCACAGCTCATTTGGCGCTGGTTTCGCCTCACAACAGCTGTTTATCGCATTCATTCTCTCTTACATTCTATGTTATAACGGAAAACATTCATACCAGGAGTCGCCATGAGTTTCCTTGCGCCAGGAGTGTATGGTCGTCACAATGGTGCTCCTATGGTTTGGCGTGCTCCACAAACCAAGGTAGAGCTCGTCCCATATCTCGAACCGCGGCCACGCGAATGCTGATCGAGTCCAGAAAGTGCTGCTTCCAGCCCTCGACAAACTGGATGACCTAGACGATGACCCTCCTCCCTATTGGCCAGGAAAAGCCCACCCACCCCCGCCAGACCCAGATCCCTCAGACGACCCCAGCTCAGACGACGACCCTCTTCCCCCTCGTAGACCATCTCGACGCCGTCGTCGACGCCCTCGGCGACCGTCGGACGCGTCTGCCTCCACCACCTCGTCAGGCGACGAGCGTCCCCGGCCCCGCCGGCCCAAGCCGGGCTGGTTCAACCGACACGTGCACGTCCGCATCCCAGACGTCGTCCGCTCCTTCGTGCACTGGGTCGCCGCGCGCCTGCTCCTCCCCGCCGAGGTCGTCGACCTGGGGTTCTACGTGATCGAGAACGCGCTCACGCATCTGTGCCGCCGCCGCGCGAACTTCATCCGCGAGCATCCGGAGGTCGCGTTTGCGCCGCCGTGGAAGCAGCAGAGGTGGTTGAGGGGCGATGTGAGAGAGGATGAGGTGGAGGAGTATAGGATGGCGCGGTATCCGTGGTGGGAGCGGGAGGCGGCGAAGAAGGCGATGGAGAGGGGGAAGGTGCATGTTTGGCCGAAGCCGGGGGAGGATGATGGGCCTTATTTGGTGTCAAATGAGTAAGGAACACTGGCCACCGCGGCGGGAGACCAGTGGTGAAAGGTGTTGGTGGTGAGTCAGTGTGCTGTTCGCTTTCTTGTAATGAGCTCTGAAGAACTAATACTCTATTTAGGCACCTCTTTGTACCCACTTCCCAATTTGTGTGCACTTTCTCGATTGTACCTATACGTACAACTGTATCCAACATCACCGAATGGAACACTCCGCCCACCCTGAAACATACTCTGGTTGCAAAACTCTCGACTATATATCAATATCCTACTATGAATGGGTTGCCGGCGACCAGACCCCAAACGGTATCCAGCCATCAGTACATGAAGAAATTTCTGTAACATTTTGGCAACGCCTTGGTATTGGTCGCTGCAGTCCCTTGTCTGGTCCTTACAAGAGGAGCTCGTCTTCCAGACGGAATGCGAGAAAACCACTGTTTTCTTTGTTTATCTAAATGCTTCAGACTCACTTCGCGCTTTATCCTCGTTCCTGAACGAATTAGATTTCGAAGGTGCGACGAGCATCGTATGCGAAGGGTCTGCGATGCAAGCTTGAGCACCTGTGAGCGGAAAAATATCTCGAGAAAGAGGATGGATCTCGAGGTCGGAAATTTGCATGACAAGGTATAAGACAGTGGACTAGGGAGGTCGGTTGGACCGCATGTTGGAGTTTAGGGCCGGCATGGCTAGCGTGGTTAGTACTGTACCTCGTAGGTTCAAGGGATTTTTGTGTGACATTAGAATTAAGATAAGTTCCGACGAGGCTGAAGTTCAAATGTCCGGCGAACGCGTGATTTTGAGCTAGGTCACTGGTGATACCATCAAGGCACCATTGCTGTAATTTGCTGAGGATAACGAAGGTGAAGATAGTGCTTCATTGGAAGGAGAAGCAGGCAACGCGGAGACACATTTTACAATGACTGTATTCCTTGTCCGTTGGCCCTATATGCAGGCGTCTCAAGCCCTTGCGACTGGTATGACCAACTCATTGAAACCTGCCAGTGGGGAGCTCGACACCCTATCTTCGGCCGTGGCTGTGGTCGTGCCAGCTTAAAGGGCCTCAAAAATCTTAAATCATAATAAAATGAGTGCAGAAAACACGCTGTGCGCAGCAAACGGCTCTGCTACATCAGAATATAAGTTAAGAGGTTTAGTGTTATTTTTTTTCGTCACGCAGGGAGGTTCATATTATCTTTCGTGATGGGTGAAGAACCAGATCTAGTAAATTCATTTTACAGGTCAAGCGTGATCAAGGCGTGACGAACCTACGGGCGTGTAGGTACAGTACATACATAGCGTGTTCGCGTGTGTCACTAAGTAGTCACTCATCCCTGCTATACAAGGTCACTCGTTGTCGTCTTCTCCAGGACTAACCGTCCCAACAGTTAGCACATGCTCAGTGCTCCAGAGGCTTTGCCCTAGGGCCGCAGTGTCTTGGAGATCTTATGCATGACAGGGTGAGCGCCGATCTACACAGCGTCCACGGCAAGTTGCTGAGTTTCATTTCTAGAGCAAGGGATATTTCTGGGTAGCCTCGTGGTACACGGTTTGGCGCCGATCCGACGCCGTTAGTCTCTTGATTTTCTTCATCTAATCCTGCGTTGCTCTTCTACCTCACAACCTACCGTTCAATCCAGCGAACCTACATGGACACAGCCAAGAAGCCTTTTGGTGGCATTCCCTTGTACACGGTGAGTTTGCGTCGCTTTCACGTCAGTCAGCCACTAGTTAACAGGCTGCCCGGCACGGTGCACAGCATCTCACATCCGCAGCGATGCTTCATGCTCAGCAATGCGTAGGTAAAGACCCATGGTACGTGGTCTGTTCTTCAATCATGTTTTCTACGCTCATGGGAGCATAAGTCTCCGAGAGGAATTCGCAAAATGGAGCAGGGAATGGGCTACTTGGGATTGCGTGCAAGCGATCGCCAACCACGAGCTCGTTTATGCACGTTTCACATCTGTGTTCTCTCACAAGAAGACCCCGCTTTTTCGCATGACGACAATTTCCAGACAGCGTACACTTGGTGTATGTGAATGTATCGATGAGGACGAGAAATTTCGTCTCAAGAGGATGGATTTGGACGCGATCGCTGAGTCACTCTCAAATATACTGAGGGACAGGGAGGGAAAGACGTACAGGCGGCTATTTACGCTAACGGGACAAGGGGCACAAGGCGTTGTTGACTTATTACACTCTGTAAGCCAGGTGATTCACTCGGTCATTTGTATATGGCTCACGACACTCAGCTCGCTGAAACCTCCTCGGGTGGCCGCTTTGCCGACGACAGGAAGTTGTTTACGAATGCACTCTTCAAGTTAGCACGGAAGTCGGGATGTTATCCTCAAAGCCTTATCCTCAAAGACGTTGAGGTGTCACTGAGTAACTACGTTGGCGGTGGTGGATACGGAGATGTTTTTAAAGGTAAATATCAAGGGAAAGCTGTGGCGGTCAAGCATGTGAGTACATAGGACGAATCTCTTTCGCTGGACTCAGTTTCGCTCATTCCCAAACTTCCCATCTAGTTCCGAGATTTCTCGCCGTCTCGCGCCCAGAAATGTGCCCGTGAGCTCGTTATATGGGCGTATATGGAGCACCCCAACGTTTTGCCCTTCTACGGGGTGTACCTTCTCAATGGTATAGATGTCAATGCGTGTCTGATCTCGCCCTTGATGGACAACGGAAGTCTTGCTCAATATCTTGCGAACTCTCGAGATGTCAGTCGCGGGCCTTTGGTATGTTCTTCATGCACATATTTGATTGTGTGGCATTTAATCAATCTGTCGTGTTGATCAAGCTATATGACATTTCCAAGGGACTGAAGTACCTCCACGCGCAAAGTATTATTCACGGTGACATAAAACCGGAGAATATACTCATGGATGTAGACGGTAAAGCGTGTATTGGCGATTACGGCCTCGCCAGCGTGAACGGAGCCAGCCAAGATTGGACGAGTAGATCTCAGAGACTCCACGCTGGAACTGTGCGCTACCAAGCGCCAGAGTTGTTGCTTGACGATGCACAAGTTAGCAGAGCAACCGATATGTACGGGTTTGGTTGCATAATTTACACGGTCAGTCGAGTCATTCCGTTACCTTGCCTTACGATCACCTCTCATCATGAATGGTTTTAAGGTTGTAACCGGTACCATCCCATACCACTGGATTAACCGTGATGTCGCAGTTCTGACTGCGATCCACAGAGGAGAGCCAATGACTTCTTATGACGAGCTTTGCGAGACTCAAGAAGAACTTCGGGAGCTGTGTATGAAGTGCGTCGATAGGGATCCTGATGAAAGGCCCTCGGTACGAGATGCCAGTAAGCTGCTGGCTTCGATGACTCGTGTTCAGGATCCATCACGGCCGTCGGACGTCCACGCTAACGCTTCAGAGCCGACGTCGATTCAACCGGCCGATGAGAACGGACGCCGTTCGCATCATCAAAACATGTCTCAGCCTGCTGTTGCTCTCTCTGCTTCTGGTCCACATCGTGCTCGCGCTACGCCTCGAAGACAGGAGTTGGCACCGTCATCGTCGTCAATCAATCCCACATATCTAACCATCTCGAAGAATTTGGCGTATTCACCTCATAAGTACTCTACATGTGTAGGGCGAAAGAAGGCGCTGCTAGTCGGGATCAACTACACAGGTCACAAGGGCGAGCTTAAGGGCTGTATCAATGATGTCAGGATGATGAGGAAGTTCCTAAACGGTGAGTCCTCGATCGCTGCCACCTCTTCTGTGCCCTTGCCCAACTTCCGGCATTCAACGTTCCCTGTGAAAACCCGCTGTTCGCGTTAAGGGTGGTTTCGGGCATTTTATGTAGTTATTGATGGCGTCGAAGCAGAGTTGGGATAGACATAAAATAGCAGAAGAATACTACGTGAGGCCGCTTTTGCATAACGCCTTCGCGCAACAGAGTTGAATTTCATGTAATCTTATGCGAATTCTCGTGCATCTTTATGTCAATATATGCTGGCTTGCGTGCACCTAGTGCAGAAGTCTGCATTAACTGACATAAACTCACTAAATCGCATTATGCGATTTTATGATGCTTTCTGCTCATTTCGTTCAGTTCATATTTGCTCGTTCGCCCTGAATAAAAATAGAATCGCTTCTATTCTCGCATCGCACACTAAAATGGTACAGGCACTGCAGGATAATAATAGTACAAAGCGTCAAAATCTCGCCAAGTCCGAAAAGCACAGGGAGAGCGCGTCGTGCTCCTAGAAACGGGTGCCATGGGCGACATCGGCCTCGGTCTTCCACGTCTTAGAAGCCACCTAACGAGGGTATGAGAAATAAAACAATGTAAGAGCGTGAAGCTCACCAATTGCTTCGCGTCGTTCGCGTAGCTCTAGATCGGTAATAAGTCCACCGATAAGAAAATACGCGATCAAAC